TACTGTCCAATATCTTGCAAGTACGAAAAAGACCGTACGAAAGTATATTTTGTCTATGTTTTGTAATTGCACAACTATTGAAAGTTGACCATGCATTCGTTCTAAAATAAAATGTTACACAAGATAAAAGTTAAAAGATACTAAGTGAAAAAATTAGACAACCGCAAAAAGATAATAGCCATTACATACATTGTAACTTTTATAGCTAGTTATATTAATTTGTATGTTTAAAGGACGTGCGATATCATAAAAATTGTTTATCAAAACATAACAAAAACGCAAGTAAAGAACGTTTAAGTATTCAATATTAATCAAAACACAAAGGTTATTCCTGTACTCGTTTTTCGAATTATTTGATTTAGGCGTTGAGAACCTTTGGTGACCCCACAGTTTAAATGAATATAATAAATACGACGTGATAAGTGGGCGTTACAGACGAACGTTCACCTAATTTAACCCAGTCAATGGGAGACTTGAGCGCGCCAAAAAATGGTCACGTCCACACTGTTATGAAAACGATACTATATCTTAATGTGTACCAAGATCACTAATAAAATTTTGTAGCATAAGAGCGTTTACGTCAAAATGTGCTTCAGAGATGGCTTTCAATTTGATTGATGTTTTCACAATTTTAGTGTCGCCCAATATACTGCAAAGTGACAATGGTCGTGAGTTTACAGCTTTTGTTATATCCGAGGTAAATCGTATGTAGCCAGAACGAGTTTTCGTTCACTAGAACCCAAGAATCATATGAATACAAGATTTGGACAACTTCTAGGCACATTTGGATCAAATAAGATGAGTATATGTAAGCAGATATTTTAGAAGAAGAAATAAACTAAAACATGTGTTCGCGAGGCAGCAACCCTACAGTCATTGTCTGGTGGTCAATGATTTTTTAAATGAGGTTGTAACTCCAAATGATCATTATCCAGCTATCCTGGATCTAACTTGAGTGATTTTAAGATGGAGCAGATTTCTGAATTGAACACATATCATGAAACTAATGATATACTTTATGACTCGCAGAAAGTTTAAACACCATTTATTCATCTACTGCCAACTTCAAAATGTTATATGCCCTTAAATCAAGAAACCTGAAATCAAACAGCCACTAAATTTTAGATAAAACTTCAAATAGTTCCTTTGTAAATGAAAGTTTATAAAATATTACTTTTTAAGAATTAATGTGAAAAAGTTGATATTTTATTTAAGCAATTGATGAAGAATTGTGATAGTATTTCATTAGTATCTTATGTTGGTTAATTAATTTGATAAATTTGGTACAGACTGTGTATTGGTATAAAAGTGGATTCTCACTCTTTTTGAAATACTATTCCAATTCTTTCCCATAGCAAGTAAGACTATTAATACAATACCAGTTGATTGACAACTGTCATGATTTACAAACAAAACCACTCAAAGGTGCGAGTATTATTCACCTCCACTTCAATGCCAGTCTTAATTGACCACAGTTAATATATACATACTAAGAAATTGAATAGACACTTTATTATACAGCTTAATACACAATTCTAGACCTCGACAGTAAACTTACTTTTGATCTACTCTACATAAAATCTTTCTGTTAATTATTTGTCAACGATAAATGATTAAGAATAAATAAGATGCACTTTTTTTCAAAGAAAATACAAAAAATAAAACATGCATTAGAAAATACAAGCAGGGTCTATTTTTCTTGTAAATCAGTGTCATAATCATCTGATATTAGTCAACAATTTAGGTTGATCAAACTAACAATTTTAAGTAACTTGTTTGAAACAATAACCAAATTGCATAACTTTCACCGGAGAACTTTCTGCAATAATATTTATTGGTTTATTTCTAATTATATATTATACTTATATTGCTATTGAACAGTATAAGATATTTGAAAAAAAAAAATTTCTGTTTTTTCAATGAAGAATGAATATCTATTTTTAATTAAAAAAATAGTAACTTAATATTTTGCTGTTGAAAAAGTGCATTTTCAATGCCTCTTTCTGGGAATATCAAACTTTGACCTTACTACGAATATTCTTTTTTCCCAAATCAGTAAATGCTATCTTTCTAAACTTAATGCTATTTAAAAAGTGATATCACAACTTATTTGTATTTGTGAGCCAAAATTTGTTCCTGTGAAAAAAGTTCCAATGGAACTTATATCACAGGAAATATGTTCTGGGATAACTTTTTTCACAGGTAATTTCTATATAATTTGTTCCATCTCTATAAAATAAGTTCCACACTTTACCTGGTGAAATAAGTACCGGGTTGGTGAAATTTGTTCCTTACCTAGTGAAATAAGTTCCGGGTTTATGAGATTTGTTCCTTACCTGGTGAAATAAGTTCTGAGTTTGTTAGATTTGTTCCTCACCTGGTAAAATAAGTTCCTTTTCTGTGAAATATATTCCACTGGTTAAACAAGTTATCTTGTATACTGAGCATTTGTCATCAGTGAGTTTAAAGTTATCATTCAAGTGCGTTATAAAAATAAGTATTATATTAATAATATAATAGATAAAAAGTGTAAATCATCCACTTTGTATCCTATGGAGTATAGCAAATGTTTAAATATATACTCTGTAAAAAATATCTAAAGGACACTTTTGAACCAGAAAATATTAGAATAAGAAAAATCATTCAGAAAAAAAGTAAAGTTTAAGAGGAACATATGTACTAATTTGAAAAGGACAAAGTGACTTGATCATTGATAAATATCAAAAGACATGTAGAAAAAAAAAGACACACTCTTTTTAAATTGTGCCATGTCCTAAGTACATGTGTGACTAAAACACGGGGCCATGACAGTTAACAGGAACCAAGGAGGAATACCGCATAAAACATAAATACAAATTATGATACATTACCATCGCTTTTATTTCTTATCTTCATCCTATAGTTACAGTCATGCCTTCCATTGCAAATGTATCCCATGCAAGTACACTCAGTACAGCATTTAGCTTGCATTATAATTTAAGTGCAACAAGAAAATGTTTCGGTGTGCAATAATGATTGAGCGGAACTTATTCATTAGTTTCTATGAAATATTTACATGTTCGTTTAAAACTAATGTCACAGGAACTTATATAAAACTTTTTAATATTAATTGAAACAAAATTCCTGGAGCTATGATTTTTGTTCTGGAAATTTTTTCACATTTGGCAAAAAAATTAGTTCCGGAACAAATTTTAAAGTGCTGGAACATATTTTCTGTGATATAAATTCCGGTGGAACATATTTCCTATGAAATTTGTTCCGGCGGAACAAATGTCACGCCGGAAAAAAACTTTTGTTACATATTCACCACCATATGAGAATATATTTTGAAATTATACACTCAACTCTTCCAAACTTTCCATTAGTGATTACGATCACGTTGATTGTCAGAAGATCTTCAGAAGCAGTACACTTTTTTCTCAGAATTTCGTGAGCTGAAATGGGTGATTTTAAAAAAGAATATAACTCTCTTAATCTAAAAAAGAATAGTGTCCAAAAGACAAATTTACATTTTTGGGCCAAAATCTCTAATCCCAAGTTTTGAGTGCTGTATTGAATTCTTTTCAGGAGTTGGTACAAAGAAAAATATTGAAAATGAGACAAGGAAAAATGTCCAACTAGCTGAAAAAAGGTCGCTCGTCGTTCTGACGTATTAAGGAGTTCTCATAAGGACTGGTTTGTGTGATAAGTTTTCAATTTTTCAGTGTTGCGATATCTTGAATTTTCCTGTAATATGGACATTCCTTTTTGTAAGCAGATGTTTTATAGGCATAGCATTCAAAGCCCATACATAATTCGTTATTTTTGGAATTGAATTATAATCTGCTTAATATATATATTTGTAGATAATATTTCCAATTCAGAATATTTCGAAGTAAAATCCCTGTAAGGAAACAATGGATCAACTGTCTTTCAAATAATTGTGATAAACTGGAAATAAAAAGTGAACTAACCTTAAAGAATTTGATAAAGAAAAATCTTTTTAGTGCTAAATATATTTTTACGACTTTTAAGGGAAACTCCCTTTTTGGAACGCTAAGATTGTTTTTTAGAGACTTCGTGAGCTAATTCAACCACTTTCGTAGCTGTCAAAGCTTTGTTCTACTGAACGTAAGACAGTCATATCAATTTAGATCAATTTGGCTTCTGTTCCCGCCAAACCATGTGACAGTCATATCAATTTAGTCACAATATGTGTTTGTTTTTGTTACTGGTCCGTTAAACTAACTAAACAGAAGAATAAATAAATGCAAAAATGAACGAACAAATGTATTGAGTCAATGTTCGGTTATTTTATATTTTCAATTTTGGGATATGTCTCAGTGGTTATAATGCATTTTATGTTAAAGTATGCCAATCAGATTGAATGTACAATCGTTACTATGTACTAATAAATAACCGCGGACGCACAGCTAAACTGGTGCCAATAACCAAGAGATGTGTAAAAAGGAGGGTGGGGGACTCTTGTAACTGTGCACCATCCTGGCATTTTTCAACACATGTATTGTTAAGTTTATGAAAGTTTCAAATGTCCCGAATTAAATGTAAAAAATGTAATGACCCTTTCGAAAAAAAATCCGGCTGTTGGATGTCAACCGAGCTGATACTAGATTTACACAAAAATTAAGGATATAACACTGCACATATTTTTGTAACATTTCCTGTAAAACTATATTTATGGTAACAAGTGTTATTTTCGACAACATCTTTTAAAAGTGATCGCATTAAAAATACGCATATTATAAAGATGGAATTAATATATTATATTAACTGCATCATTCATATCATTTAAATAATATAAAAATATAATGAATTAACTGGCAGGTGTTGCTCTTTTAACTGGATTGTTAATGTATGATTATCATTGATTATCATTTCACATAGAAATCATTTGACTTCCAATTGGTATTATCATGATTAATTTTCTCCATCAATTGTTATATGGTATGTTCCACATTATCATCATCTATCGATCAGCATCCTCTGCACATGTCTGGAACATATCTTGAATAAATAATTCATTTCTTTAGAAACTATCCATACATTTTGAGATTTTTATATGTGTGTTACAGGTCTCGGGCAACATGTTAATTATTAATTAGACATGAATTGTCAAATGCTGTGAAATTTCTTCTTGGATAAATCGATTATCTGCTGCACGCGCCTGGATAGAGATTCGGGCAGACGACAAGCCTCGCTTTGACTGTGAGGGTGATTTATGCATACATGTAATATTTAAGGCGATGAAATATAAAGAATCAATGGTGAATTAGTTTGTTTTTTTAATTGCCGTGATTTTAACGACAAAATGTGTACCATTCATTATTATTTTAGGGGAATTCCATCTATATGAAATGTGGTTATAGGACTAAGGATTATATCAAGATTCTAACATGAACCGTTCAGACAATCGGGTGCTTTTCTGATGTTTATTAAGAAGAGAGTGATTTTTCCAGCTGGCTCCATCGGTAAGTCAATGTAAATTTTCAATATTGATATTTTGCATATTAAAAATAATTCTCGGTAACATCGTCCATATTTAATGACCCGGTGCTTAGTATGAATGCTCCATATCGACATTTATTATTGACATCAGTTACAGCGGAAACCGGCCTATTTATGAATGATAACGTACAAACCAGCTGATTGAGTGTGTGCAAGATTGAAATGGCTATATAATTCCCGGGGGTGAACTGTCCTTAACCGACCCTGTATTTAATAATGCATAATTTGCAGTGGTATATTTTCTCAATTATAGATTTATTGTTCTGTGAACATTGAAGAATTTTTCCTTCATGCTGCGCGCAAACTGTTAATGTACTAGTGTTTACACATTTAATGTATATCTTACTTTCAATACATTCATTTGATGTATGCGTATTGATTTTGTATAAATAATACGAGAATAAACAGAGTGAAGTGTAAATAGCTAAGTTCTATAATGATGGATCTGGGATCTAATCAGTTTTTACTGACGAACATCACATTATTATTTTTATTGAAGAAAAATGGTGGACGCACGTAAATTTGCATCCAAGGGTACTTAATTCGCACTAAATTACTGAATATTGTGATAATTAACATTATTACATATAATCATATAATATCATATAGATAAACAGCGCAGCTGTCGTACAGAAAGACTAGCTATTATTTCATCTGAAACTGATTGATATATATGTTTTGTCATCCATGAGATTCTTGTGTAATAAACTATTGTTATGTATTGTATAGTTACGTCATGAAACTTAGTCAAACTCCCCCGCAGAAATAACCGTGTAATCGATTAACGAAATGTACATCAGATTGTTAGTATCGTACACAATCATTATCTGTTCTTTTGAAGAAAAAAAAAAAGAATAACATAATGACTATATATATTATTGATATTCAAATGATATTTAGGAAAATGTTTGATTTGATCATTAGTTTTATTTGTTTATGAGCCACAGATTATGATTATCATATAATTACAAAAAAACATACATTTACCAAGAACCATCGAACTTAAAACTGAAAAAAGTTTCCATTGCCCTAAACTTTAAAAGATTTGAAAAAGCACTAAATCCGTCGCAGATGTACTGATCATCTGATTGACATTTTAATTGAATAGAACATTGGTTAATTGATATAGTTGAAATAAGACCTTGAAATCATGAGCTTCAGCAACTGATAGTACTGTTAAATCGGTCCATTGTGCTTTTTGTCTTTTTGATATATGTTTGTGCCTAGTACCGATCCCTTTCTAAATGCTTATTTTGAATAGTTACACCACTGTCCAATGTGAGTGAAGGGTAGCGCCTTCACAACCATGTTCAACCCCGCCAAATTCTTTATGTCCTGTCCAAAGTTAGGATAATATAATCTAGTAGTTGTTGTTGGTTATTTTTCATATTTGTATTTTTTATAAATTCGTTGTAGTATAAATTAGTCCGTTGGTTGTCTCTAGAAAAAATTTTGGATGACGTTATTTTGGCTAGTTAATTTCCTTTGTCGCCACATTTTGCCGTGGCCTTTTAATTATAGCTTACTATACATGGTATTGGTTTTGTTTATTGTTGAATGCCCGTACGATGAACAGTAATTGTTCAAATATTTGTCCTTTGTTTCTCATTGATAGTTGTCTCTTTGATTATCTGCACATCTTTTTTTTTTATTATACACACACTCCACCGCTAACAGTTTTGGGGGGTATATAGGAACCAGTCTGTCAAGTCCGCAGTCTGTCTATCTGTCCGGACCAACTTCTTTATCATTTGTTTGATTAACTCCTTCTCCATGAAACTTTGTACATTGTTAGATCCTTATATGCAGAGGTGCATGTGGTTAGGATTTTCCGGTCCATGGATTTTTTGTTAGTTATGGCCGTTTAAACTTAAAAATTTTAACAGATCCCTATTTGCCATCGCATCGTATCAACAGGAAATTTACTAAATTGTTAGAACAAAATAGGCAGATGTGCATGTGGATAGGAATTTCTGGTCCAGTGAATTTTTTTAGTTATGCCCCCTTGATTTTAGACATTTTGACAGATCCGACCTAGTCTTTGCAACTCCTTAAAAATAAAAATAAATATATACAAGATTTGCTCTATTTACAAGAAACTTAGTACGTTGTTATAGGTCCTGATCTGCGGAAAGTGCATTTGGGTAGGATGTTCTGGTCAATTAAGGTTTTTAAGTTATTGAATTTCTATGCGATATTATCCGAATTTGGAGCGTACAAGTTAAGGAGTTACCTTCAGCTTGTATTACGGCATGTGCCAGTTTGGCATGACATTAATGTGCCAAGTTCATTCATGGAATTTCGAGGATGGCGAAATTTTATTTTATTTTGATTTTATGCATTTTTTCCAAGCTCTTATACATTAATTTTTAGTTCAGTTCTGTAGTTGTTTTCAAATTCAATTTTAACACAGCGCAATGGACATATAGTGTTTGCACATACATGACATAGGTTACGATACATGTGGATTTACGTAGGAGGTAAATAGCAACAGCCATAAATATGCACATCTCTGTATCTGTGTATAGTTTACAAAGCGAAAGCGGCACGTCATATTACAATGTGAAAAAATACAATATGTCTAGCTGGAAATCTTGAAAAAAAACAAGCAAAATTCACGAAATAGCAATAAACATTTAGATGTGACATATGACGACCACTTAGAAGGTTTCTGACATGGGACAATTAAGCACATGAACAGTGGCGGGTTTAAAATAAGTTTTTTTTTTAAAACCTCAACCCTCTTTTAGCTTCGATCACTTGACTAGGACATAAAAGAGAAAATTGAGGATGGAAACGGGGAATGTGTCAAAGAGACAACAACCCGACCAAAGAGAGAACATGGAATATAAATAAGTACAGGAAAGCGCTAACTATAAAATGAAAGTAATCTAAACAGTATCAATGAACAACAGCAATTACTGTTCAAGCAAGCTAAAAGTTCTTATAAGAACCATTTACTTAGGTTCCGAGGGTGGCCTTTATAAGCATATTTAACTGTATACCTAATTATGAACCATGTTGAAATGTATACGAGTAAATAACCATACGTGTACCTCTTCCTGCTTTTACAATGTAAGTAATTGTCTCGGATAGAGAAAACAAATATATAGATAGAGAATAAATATCATATGGCTTTTTCAATATCACACCTGTATCAACCAGAGACACCAATATAATCCCAAGAGATCTGCTCGAGGGATTATATTGGTTGAGGGTTGATACGGTGTGTGATATTGAAAAAGCCATATCATATACACTTTATTATATACATGCACCTCAAGTACAACTAAATCTCTCGTGTGTATTTTTCACGAGACATGACGTCATACATATTAGGAGTTTGATAAATCTTTTGTTACCGTGACTGATATCGATTACGTGACGTCATACAGATTAGGGGTTTGATAAAGCCTTTGCAACCGTGACTGATATCGATATCATCACTGATGGCTGATACAGCACGATTGTCATCAATTGTATTACACATACAATTTACCTGCATTTACTACTAAGTATATGATAAATAGTGAATATCATATGGCTTTTTCAATATCACATCCGTAAAAGCCATATCATATACACTTTATTATATACATATACCTCATGTAGATGTTTTTTATGTGACATGACGTCACACAGATAAGAAGGTTTGAAATGACGTCATACAGATTATAGATCTGACATGACGTCATACAGAGAAGGGGTTTGATAAAGCCTTTGCAACAGTGACTGCAATCGATGACGTGACGTCATACAGATTAAAGGTGTGATAAAGCCTTTGCAACCGTGCTGATATCGATATCATCACGGGTGGCTGATACAGCACGCTTGCCAATGATTGTATTACACATACAATTTATCTGTATTTACTACTAAGTATATAATAAATGTATTTATATTATTGTCGTCCACATATTGATATAAATTAATTTTATATGGCATACTTTCTTTTTATTAAAGAATTAACTTCGTTGTATTGGTAAGAAGTTACTTTGAGGCCTTTATCAAGCCACTCCAACGTTCATTTGATTAAATTGGAATTTCACATTCGGAAACTTATGAGGTTGTGTAAAGATGATAAATCCGGATGTACTTCTATTCAAACAACACATGTCGTTTTCGTGAATGTCAAAAACATTTGAAAACCTGTTAATTGAAATCTTTTCAGCTATGTTATTGAAATAAGATATGGTGGCCTTTTAATAAAGTGTAAGAAACTACAGATTGGTATATATATTATATTGAGGTAAATTATATGGCCTTCCAAATACCGTTTCGATTCCTAACATCACTGAAGAGACATTAATTGTCGAAATCCGGATATGGTGTACAAAAATCTTTGCACCTTTTGTTTGCGGTATACCATCTTTGCCGCAAGTTTATTGTTTTCTGTTTGGTATTAATTTATAAATAAGATCCATTTATTACACCTGGTGATCCGTTTATTTGGCAATCGCCAATGGCAGTCGGCAGGGTTTAAGAACATTTGTTGTTCGACCTGTTAGTCAAATGCGTTTTGTTAAAATATACTTTTTCACTTTTTTGGTCTTTTGGAAAATATTGTTTGTGCTGTATTTAGACCCCTCTAACAAGAAATTTGTTTTGCATGCACACGTATAAAAATTGCGGTTTTTATCCAACGCAATCATAGGTTTGAACGTTGTTTTCAATTTAGACTTGTTTATATATATATATATATATTGTGGACCTGTATTGATTTCAAATCATTCATTATACTTTACTGGCAGAATATGTTCATGTACTACAGCTTGAAGTCTGGAGTCTTAAGCATTCTTCTGTCATAATGATTACCTATTCTTCAGAAATACATTTCATGATCTTTATAAATTTGATACGAGTAAACAGAGATTTGACTTATATACGTAAAAAGAAAAGAAGAAAAAAAAACCCCAAAAACTGGCTTATAGTATGGTGATGTTGGGTGGGCTGGCGGGCGGGA